CCCCCCCCCCTCCGTGCTTGGGGCCCGGACCTTAAAACTGGTACCAGAGCCCTAGATGGGATGTGGCGGGCCTGAGTAGGACACTATGTACTTAAAAAAGAGGAATAAAATATCTGAAAGGGAATATTCTTTGAAAAGCTATTGAGATTTACGAAATGGAAAATCCTTTTATTCTTTTTTTTAAAGAATACCACCAACCATGCAATTTTACAACTTTTCAAGTTACCTATCACCGTATCACCCAAAGTATACCAGGGAATAAGTTAGTTGCAACAAAGTTGAGATAATGTTGCTAAAATTTTGAAATAAAGTTTCAATAATCTTGAAACTTTGGAAGAAACTTTCGACGATAAGGACCTATATTTAATGAAAATTTCGCGGATGACAGATCAAAACCAGGTATCTACATTATTGTCGATTTTGGTATAAGTCGCTGTAGCTGCATAATTAACGCACCTTTGCTAGGAGATACATTATTTTTTTAACTGCTTTTAGAGATGTGGATGGATCTCGTAAGAGATTATGGCCGAAGAAAGTGGGAAAGGGCTAATAAATCACGAAAAATGTTGACACGTATCTTCCGTTTACATAGTTTCAAAAACAGGTATCTCTGAACCTCGACTCGTCTCCGGCGCACAGTGGATCTAGTCAATAGGAGAGGTCGGACAAAATTTGGAAACTTTAAAGCTTACAACTCCGATTATACAAAACTTTGAGGCCCTAAAAGTGGCTCCATTGGTTTCCTCGTGAAATTTTCTTTTTAGAATACCCTTTGAAATTTAAAATGTGACGAAATAAACTTAAAAATTCGCAGTTTTAGTCAAAAATTTCATGTCCCACCTCTCCAATTGACTCGATCCACTGTGCGGCGCTTTATTTTTGCGGGCATGCAACTTTTCGTGCGTATTTACGCGGACTTCGTACAGAGCTGAGAATTAACCTTACGCATAAAAATGCTGTTATTGATGTTGACGCAACTCGGACATTTATATTCAATTTGAGACATTTCAGCGTTGTCTGAAATTCAAGTTGTTTTGTGAACTAATCATGCAAGTAAAAAAAAATGTGTTTATCATTGTTCTTACAACTCCGGCGTTTTTGTTAATTTGAGTCATTTAATTTAGTGTTTTTCCTTTTAAATTCTTGTTATTAATGAGATAATCATGGGGCAAAATCAAATAAATGTGACTAATGGAAAAATCTGGCTCTGGCCCAGAAGTGTGTATGTCTACTTGACGGTCATTGGATTTTGATTTGCTTTATGAAATAGATAAAATGTGTAAAAAATAAGTGAAAACTAAAAATGTTCAAAAAAAAAATCCTGAACATCCGACTTCATGATGACTGATCACGCACTTCAAACATAGCAAACATTCTTAGTATCAGTAATAAGGTGATTAGCGGACCATGAATGTTTGATTATGGATTAATGAGTACCAGTCCAGTACTTCAATACAGCCTTTCAAATCAAAATTTGCAAAGCGGGTAGGTATCGACCAGTGTTCGAAACTCACCTTTGAGTTTTAGGAGCCATGTGGCGCATCAAGCCCGATTTTTAGGCGCCATTGAAGATTTTTTAGGGGCCAAATTGACTTTTTGCCTATATATTACGGCGCATTTAGTGAAAAGATAGACGCAAGATGTTTTCCTAACAGAACTTGTAAGTAGCTGTAACTTGGGGAAGACAAAAGCTCAAATGATGAAATCGTGAAGAATAGAAAAAGCTTTCACTGATAATTTCGAATAATCACCTAATATGAAAATTCAGATTTTTAGGGGTCACATTGGCGCAGAGCCTTCATTTTTTAGGCGCCGTGGCCGATTTTTTAGGCGCATTTGGCTCGTTGGCGCCTGTGAGTTTCGAGCACTGGCACCTATCGACTGCTGAGCTATCACAGCCCTGTCGAATGATATATTTTTCAAGTGGCTTAACTGCATTAACTTATTTGGCATGGACGTTCTATCTCTGTAATTTTACCGTGTTCCGTAACTGCTTGCATTATTTTGCAAAAAAGAAAGAAAAAAAAAAAAAACATTACGAAACTAATTAAGTATCATATTCTTGATATTTTCACCAAGTTTTACGTTCATTTATGTATTTACTACGTCAAATGGAAGAAAGATAGGAAGTATATTTCAGTCTCATGGAAAATCGTGTTCTCGGAGATACGCGCGCGTTTTTGGTCCGTCACCTGCGATATCGCGAGTGCGCTCGCGTAGATTGTCGACAGATCTCAGGTTTCGCCTGTAAAATGTAGTGTATGCAGCACTGCTCAATGCGGAGTTAAAATAGTTGCATGTTGGGTTCGAACCCAAATTCGTGCATTCTTCCAGTGTTCTTCGCGTTGTTTTGAGTTGAAATGGCGTTCTGTTATATGAATGATGTTTAAAAAAGGCTCAGATTTTAGAAAAATGCTTACAACAAACATTATTATAGTTCAGAAATAAGCCAACTTTATAGCTTGAAATGTTTATAGAATATTTTACTGATGGAGAAGAAAAATTACGGAAGTTTTCGATGAATTACGTTGATCAGTTTTTCGAGGGGACCATGAAGTATGACAGGAAGTTTGTAACGTCGCAAACGGAGATAAGTGATTTTGCACTTTGGCCATCGATATTTCGTGCTATAGTCATCATAGTGCAAATAAATTCAATCTGAAAAAAACTGAGTGCTCAGAATTTGCGAGTCTCAATCAAGGCTCCTTTTAAATTCACCAATGAAGCAGAATTTCACGATTGATAGTGAAAAATAAGCTACTTAGTATTCCATTTATAGGACACCGACTTGCTACGACACCTCTGCTAAATAGGCAGCAATGTTAATCTACATGTGAAACACAAACTTGGTGTAAATATAGTCTTGTCCGATTTTTGAATATGAGATAGCTATTTAATTGCAATTTATCGGTATGAGATCGCAATTTTCGACAGCTATTTTTTACTATTTTCATCGCCTAACTTTTGAATTTTGTACAGCCACTTCATTGCCATTTACACTATCGAATTCTTAATTTTGAAATGTCTGCTACATATATGCATAGTCAATGTATACGTGCCTAGTGCCTTTTAGAAATTGCGTCAAATTCAAAAAGGAGTCCGACCGAATTAAAACATCAGTTACGCAAATGGATACATAAAACTGCAACCTTCATGTTAGTTATCATGGTTTGAAAATAAAAATTCACTTCGAAAATCCTCTCCACATCTCTGATCCAAAGGGATGATTCGTAAAACAAAACAGGAAAGATATGTTTTATCTCAGTAATAGGGAGTCTCGCAGTCTCACCTTGCAATGTTGATTTGAGTTTTTCTACGTGAATTTTAGAAATAGAGATAAGTATTTTTAAAAATGACTTTCTTGCTTTGTAAATGCACATGCATGAGTAAAAAGTAACGGTGCAGTTTTGGTAATTTTTTTTCCTCCCATCTTCAACTGGACTAAACCCAAGTATAGGATGCAATAAATTCCCATTATGCATGGTAAAATTATTGCTGCTGCATAACAGCGTCGTGTATGTTGCCTATCTATTAATTGAAGGGGCTCCTCGTGTTGAAATGTTCTGCGATAAAATATGAAGTGGAGATAAGGTTGTAATTTTTCTCTGCTTTGCAAATTACTTATCCTCTCAGTACATGGAGCTTACTCTATTGATTTTTAAGATTGTCATTTATTGACCGCAAGTAATTAAATTTTTTTGGAATAGCCCGGTAAAAAATTGCATACTTATTTTAATGAATTCGTTGCACTGTGTTACCTACTTAAGAACTCAAAGGTCACAGAATTAGTATGAGCATGAAATAATAAATAAAGGTTTTTCAGTAGAATTAAACGTTTTAATGTTCAATTAAACTTCAAATAAATAATCAATAAATTAAATAAATTAACAAACTTATGAGAAAAATGGCTGCATGAGCACAGTTGAAGTGAGCCAATATAATTTTCTCATGAAATTAATTAATTAAAATTGAGAAATAAATAAATAAATTATGCTTTATGTACACTTCCATTGAAATAAATAAAACAGAGAGTATTAGGAACAGGGCTCTGATTTAGAGCGAAACAAGGCTCCAAATAAATTGAAGGTTTTCGGAGGATGAATTGAGTTATTTTAAACGTTCATCAGTTTGAGCCTGCTATGAAAATACTTTCCCACCGGTTGTTGAAGAAAGAATATTCTCGGTACGTTATCTCGAGCGATTTCATCAGATGATACGTCATTAGCTAGTGGTGTTTCAAACCACTGAAATCTGTTGGAAATCTGATTCTTATTCAACCTTCTTATTCGTGATGGTGTGGTTCTGGATAAGAGACCGGGTAGTGGTGTGGGGTGGGCATTGAGAAACCTGAAACATGTCAGAGAAAAACACATAATGTCAGTGAAATATTGTTAGAAATACCAGCAAAAGAAATCGCAGTTAGAGAAAAATATATATATATTTTTTTTTTTTTTTTTTTTTTTNTTTTTTTTTTTTTTTTTTTTTTTTTTTTTTTTTTTTTTTTTTTTTTTTTTTTTTTTACCACTTTAAACTTTAAGTAGCCCAAAAGGGCTAATCCAGTGATCCTGCGTTTTAAGTTCCATCCCCCCTCCGTCCCTGTTGAGCCAGTACCATTATTTGAGACCATCAAACTCGGGTCGCCTGGCCGGGAATCGAACCCGGGACCTCCCTATCATAGGGCTAGCGCTAATATCTGTAATAAAACATGATTTTCTTTGAAAAAAAATTTAATTCTGTGAAATTGCAGGCAATTTCGCATCTTCGCACATGAGTCACTTTTGAACGAGCGCGCGAATTTAAACGGCAGCGAGTGAGTCTGCAAGCAATGCCTCGGATAATTACGTCTTAGAGCGTCGACACCTCGCGAGGGAACGCAGGGCGGAGAAATGTTTAGCACCTACTTGAATAGCGCGTCTCAATAAATTAGCACTTGGGTGTTAGTTTGCAACCGACTCCTTGGCACTGTTACCAAACCTAAACGACAAAATTTGCCCTTGTCTACGCCAAAAAGATACTAACAATAAGTAAATCGAAACTCCTATGTGGGCTCGGAACATTTTGGCAATGGTAACTCGTCCTGTGTCCTATACAAGGTTGCAAGGTTATGCCATTAAATGTGGATATATAACTAGTGTTTTAGTAGGGAAAACTGCTGATTTTTCAGCACAATCCTGCAACAATGGCCATGTGCGAAAAAACCAAATTCGTCTGACGCGTCACCGAGACTGCAAGAGCATCGTGGCAGCTTAATTCAATTGTCAAGCCGTATCCTTTCCTTTCAGAAGTTGCATTGTCATCGTTTATAAACTTGACCACGCTCGAAGCAGCTCCTTGATTTTGTTCTTTTAATCCTAGCCCAATTGACTCGAGTGCTTTTTCGAGATTCGACTCTTGATGTAATAATCGGATGGAATTAAGCAGTAAAGTAGTGCTAAAAAGAGAATTTTTGGAAAAAAAGCACGTACATTTTGTGCAGCTTGGAACTCCTATTGTCCACGCACCAGAAATTTGAATCCGAAGAAAAAGGAGAGGAAGAAAAAAAGAATGTAAAGAGAAGTGAAGAAGAATAAAAATAAGGGGAGGGGGAGCAAGAGGGTAAGCATTGACCTCTGCATTTAAATTTTGTGTCACTAGATCAGATTGCTTCGATTGTAAGTGCAAAGTCGCTTAAATATACAGGGTGATCCGAAGTTAAACCGCCGGGCTACAGGTGCGCGTTCAGTGGGTCAAAATAGGTCTTATTCCTCTATGCATTTTTTTTGCGAAAGTGCTTCGTACGCGGCTACCCCCCCCCCTCCCAATTTCTGGGTAATAATTTTTTTCCAGCATTTTGGCAACAGTAATGCACCAAATCCTATGAAAATTGGCATGCACCAATACTCTGAGGCTGCATTCAATAGTGACATTAGAAACATCACAATCTTAATTGGACCGCGTTAAGCAGAAAGGAATCAAGTTACGTCGGCTATTGCCAAATTTAATTGGGCAATTCAATTTTTTACATGAAAACGGTTTTGCGGATTTGTGTGCAAAGTTCAGTGAATTTTCTGTATAAGGCGAAGAAAATTCACAAAAATTCTCAAAGGAATCCGCACAAACGCTCTCTTGGAAAAAATTAAAATGCCCAGTTAATTTTTGCAAAAAATCGTCACCTTCCGGCCAAAGTATCACAAGCGCCGTGAGGCGTTTAAAATTTCCGCCTTCTTATAATTTCTACATAGAAATTGTCGGTTGAATCTGTTTTTGAAAATTTCACTGAATTCAATCTGCAGCACAAAGGAAATTCAGTGACGCATTTCCGGACAGCTTCGTTGAACAATTTCTCTGTAAAAAAATAAAAGGCCGGCGGTAATCTTTAAACATCGCATGGCGCTTGTGATACTTAGACCGAAAGGTGACGAAATAATGAGGCTTGGCTCCTCTCTACTAAACGCGGTTCAGTAACTGAACCGGATTAAGGCCGGATTAAGGAGATGGCCACATGGGCCGCGGCCCATGGCGGCAAATCTAGGGGGGGGCGGCAAATTTTGCAATTTTTTTAAACGTAGGTATAAAAAAAATCGAATTTAGAAAATAAATTACAACCGAGAAAAGGCAACAAAATCTCTCATTTCCTGAGAGTATAGTAATTTCTAATTTTGTCGTCTCTTTGTGATACAAGAGACAGCACCTTTAATTAGTCGAGTTAAGAGAGAAACCAAACACGCATTAGCGCCTACAAGACTGCACGAATACTTCACGCATTGCATCAAACACAGTGCGGTCACTGCAGTCAGCGTGAAACGGATAGCGCCTACAAGAATGCATGAATACTTCACGCATTGGGCCAAAGACAGTGCGGTCAGCGTGAAACGCTTAGCGCCTACAAGACTGTCGGAATACTTCACGCATTGCGCCAAACACAGTGCAGTCGGCTTGGCGCGGCGGCGGAAGTTAAAATCAATAAACTACATTTATGTTTGTTCTTTCATAATTTTTTCGTTCATTTCCTATGAATGGAAGGCCTTGTCCACACAGAGATAGGTTTACGGAACTTAACTTTCGCGCAAAGTTCCGTGAACTTTTGCTAGTAGTGTTGACAGGGCTTTTCCAAAAAATGTGTTCAACACGAGTAAACGCGTCTTCTGCATCCTTCTCCCGCTGGCACGTTCACTTGATGGTTTTTATTGATGTTTCAAAACGAATGAGAAGGGGGCGGCAAAATACAGGCGGCCCATGGGCGGTAAGTATGTAAATCCTGCCCTGGTTCAGTTAAAACTAGGATTTCGGGGAGGGGGATCTTAGACTTAAAAAGGCCGATAACTCGGGTTTTTGACGTAAAAAAAGTGAAAAGTGAAGTTTCATTACCAGAGCTGAGGGTTTCAGTGATGGCCCCGATGATGGCGTGGACGATGTTGAGGGCGAAAGGCTGGATGAGGTCGCCGACGACGGGTCCGACGTACTTGAGGGCAGTGAGGATGGCGTGGAGGTTGATGGGGTGTGGGTGGACCTGGGGCTTGCTGACCTCGTAGTAGTGCTCTGGCTCGGACTCGTAGTGGGTGGGTGCGGGTTTGTGCTCGTGATGGGTGGGTTTGTGCTCGTGGTGGGTGGGTTTGTGTTCGTGTTCGTGTTCGTGGGCGTGTTTGTCTCCTTCAGGGGCGACGGCGGCCTCAGCGACGGGGGCAGCAGGGGCGTCCTCAGCGACAGCGGCCGGTTCAGCAGGGGCGGCAGCGGCGGCCGGGTCTTCAGGGACAGCGGCGGCCTCTTCTTGGCGCCCCATCCGGCTCGGCAGGGCCTGGGCGGAGGCGAACAGAGCCAGGATCAAAGCAATGCTAACGGTGAATTTCATCTGGAACATAATAAAAAACAAACGCTTATAACTCCGTCCGTACAAAACTTTGAGGTTCTAAAAGTGGCTCCCACTATTGGTATCTTCGTGAAATTTTCATATGAGGGCACCCCTTGAAACGTAAAATGTGACGAAATGAACACCAAAATTTGCAGTTTTAGTAAAAAATTCCATGTCCGATTTCTCTGATAGAGAATTTGCAGGTGTCTTAAATGTTGTGAATTTCATCTTTAAAATGATACTGCTAGGAAAATAGAGTACGGGGATATCTTTGGTTCCTAAATTGAACAATTATCGGAGAAAATATGACTAAAGAACCTAAACTGCTGAGATACATGTGCTTGAATGGTTAATGCCGCCAGATTACGCCATAAGGCGGCACATTTTGGCAACATTGTAATGTAGTTAAGTTCCTCCGTGAGGGAAAGGACAAAATGTGCGAGGGAATGAAAGAAAAAGGATGACTTTACTACGGCTTGGAGGGGTTGATTCTGCGTCACTCGGCGCAAAGAATACCTAAAAATTCCGGAAATTAACACTTAGGCAGTAATACAAAATTTGAGGATGAGAAACGGAGCATTCCTCCTTTGAAAAAGATCATGTTGAAATCATGTCGGTCTGGCTAAATATGATACTCGCACTTAGGGAGTGAAACATGGCACAATTTTGGCCAAAAATGTATTATAACACGGTACCACCATGATTTTTGTTGCATGAAATTAATAATCGCCGGCATATCGCAACTTATTTGTATTCAATGAAAAATTTAAAAATTTAAAAGTACACAGACAAGACAGAGAGTACTGAGTACTGATTATAATGTATGAAATCAAAACAGAGGTAGTTTTGGTCTTGAATACAAGCTAGCCCAGTCAGTCGCGAGTTCATGTAGTGAAATCAGTGACCTTAGTTGGGTTTGGTTCAGGTAGGCAACTAAATTAACTGCCTGGCAAAGCGGAAAGTATCACCGAGTTTGAAGGCGCTCCAGGCCGTCGTCGTACTCTACCATGAAACCCTCAGTCTCAGTGTATGTTTATGCAAATGATTGCAATTTGACGAGTTACAGAGAATGCTACCTGCAAATTTCCGGTCCTATTTTATTCTTTCGTAGAGAAACAAGTCACATTCATTGCTTGAAATTTAGACAGTGTATTTTTCTACTAGAGAGGAAAAATCAATGCAAATTTTCAAGAAATTACCTTGCATAGTTTTTCAAAGAAAAAATAAATAATGACAGGAAGGCTGCAACGGTGCAAACGGAGATGCGTGATTTCGCACTTAATAGCCATTGATATGCTGATAAGCTATGGGAACGCACAACTACAACATTTGTAAAATGTAAAAATCTCGGAAATTTCAGAATCCTAAATAGTACCTTTACGTTGCAGAATAAATTAGGTCCCAGATAATTGTAGTCCCTAGATGACTTGATTTTAAACATTAATGAGTGGCACATTTCTTCGCAGGAAAATAAGGCAATTATGCGAGTGACGTAATTATTCTGCCGTGCTAAGGAAGAACGCCGTATGAACACTCGAGAGTTGCCAAATTTCCCTTGATGAAACATGAATTTTTGGAATCATTCATGAATAATTCTTCTTGAAATTTGCAGACATTTTAGATTAAGGTGATTTGATGGCCGCCATATTTTGTGTCAGAAAGGCATGCGATATATCACATCCATCGGTTCCATTTTTTCAGCTACTTGTCATTTTTCTCCAATTTTGAGATCGCAATTCTGTTGTCAGGAGACTATAGCACTCACTTACCAATTTTAACAAAGAAATTCAACGTAATAAAGGCGTGGTTTCTTTAGAGAGAAAATATCGCAGTCGAGTGCAATTTCGATCTCAGTACCTATCGAATGCGATGTTTTCTCTCTAGAAAAACCACGCCTTTAGTATTTTGAATTTCTTTGTTAAAATTGGTAAATGAGTGCTTTAGTCTCCTAACAACAAAATTGCAATCTCAAAATTGGAGAAAAATGAGGAGTAGCTGAAAAAATGGAACCATAATTGATGCGATATGTCGCATGCCGTTCTGACACAAAATATAGCGTCCATCGAATCACCTTAAATTGCGTACAAGATTGTCTGCAAATTTTGGATCATAATATTCACAATTTTCTCAGTAATTTCGGTTTTTATCGGAGGAAACTTGGCAACGTCTGAAGGCTCATACGGCGTTCTTCCTTAGCACGGCAGTATTAAGGAGAAAGAGGAATGAGACGGATAGTCATGACCCTTACGGAAATCGTAGAAGATAACAGAATCATTTTTGCTTTATCATTTCGTCGCTCTTCTGGCGTGGGGGCGTATCTCGATTTTTGCAAGAGCCCCAGAAAGCATGGATTTACACGTAAAACAGGGCTCACGTGTAAGTTGAGATACGCCCTTCCGCCAGAGGAGCGACGATTTGACGGTTGAAATTTCGAGGACGAAGGAAGAAGTGAAACGGTTATGAAACCGACTCTCATTCTCAATTTAGATTAGGCGCCGAATCAGTAAATGGTTCTGATTCTCTCGGAAACAAGAAGAGACACCATCTGGACAACATTTTACCATGGGGAACTATTGTTCGAAGGGCTTGGCGGGCAATGCGCTTAAGTGCAGTTTTTGCTATTTTGAGAAATACGTGTTAGAAGTTTCGAAATTTCATGGATCCTCATGGCAGAAGAAGAGTTCCAACTGACTTTTTGATGCCTGAAATGTTGAATTTGGGAGTGGATTTTTCTCAGAATATGCATTCAGACTAGTTTTACTTAAAACCATCAATATCTTGATTTCTCAAAAACTGTACTTATGCGCCCTGTCCTGCAAGCCCCTCTTTTTTAGTTCATCAATAGATGCACACTATCTACATAAGGAGGCTTTTTGACACATATACGTTCCTTGTAAAATGATCCAAGAATATTAAAGCATTTTTGCAAAATATACCTAATCCATTTGAAATGTCTCAAAGGGGGAGGGTGGCAATAATTGCATTGAGATGAACAGATAAAAGCCAAGTTTTTTTGGGAAAAATTGTTAAGCTCGTTAGCTACTTGAAGAACCCCCCACAGACATCACTATGTGGTTATAGCTAGTTCCTTTCTCTAAATTGATTTGGTTCTTTCAGCTGTTATGGAAAGTTATTAAAAAGTTTAGAAAATACAAAATTTTTTCAGCAAATATTGTCGAGGTAAGAAATAAATAAATAAAGCTCCGGTAGTTTTCTCAATTAAAATTTTTAGGCAAAAATATTCATGAAAAAAATTATCCTACAGCAAGTAGATCCCGTTTCTCGAAAAAATAAGTTCTATTGAAACATTTATGAGCATCGCACAAGGCATTAAATCTTAGTCTCAATTGATTTCCTGCAACTGCTGCTTTATCGTTGCGTATTTAGCGAGTTGTGATGTTCAAATTATTCAATTATTTATAACTTTATTCTCTTTCAACTCACAGATTTCAATACCCTTACAATACAATTATCTAGTATCTTTGCAAATCACTGCTATTGATAAATTGTTTCAATTTATAGCTAAAAGACTGAAGGATATTTCAGTGAATAGAAAACAGCGGAACATACCTTGAATGAAGTTGGTTGGTGGTTTCGTACAAAGAGTCACTGAAGGGTAGTTGTCACGATCAAAAATGAGCACTAACTGAACAATGGGTCTGGTCGATTTTTGTATTTATAAATGATGGCGTAAATCTAACTGTTAATTTGCGAGGGTTTACCGCAACCCCTTAATGAAGTCCGCGATCAGGTCCGCGTGGTGCACGGGTGAAATCGTGACGTCAAAATATTCGCCGGACGCTCCGCCGTGGTTGGCAAGAACCACATATGTTCACATGATGTTTTATCGGAGTTAGGCGTTTACTGCTTGGCAGGGCAATGATGGACAGTACCTACTGCTTTCATTTTCAACTTCAAACCTGAAATCCGTCTCCAAATCCACCTATTCCAATGTTAATCGTTCCATCCATCCTGCTTGAACCAATAGTTCATCGGAAAAGTCTTACATGGATTTCCTTCCAAAATTATGGGCCTATCGAACGGATAGAGGGGGACTCATCCCAAAAATGGCTAATCGGATCTAGAAAATGTAATTGTAGAATAATAATTGGTATCAGGGTCGGACTGGCTCGCATCTGAGGGCGTAGACCCTTGGCTGGTTAAAGGAGCGTAATGTGATATTTCCTGATGGGGCATCCCCTATGTGGAGAGGGGTTCAGAAAATTTTGGAGAAGCAGCACACGTTTACGCTATTTTCAGGTTCACAGTTTATAAATCGCACAGAGCAAAAATTGTAAAATTGAATGTATTGAAGTGACCGTCAGACCTCTGAAATTAAAGAAAAAATAAACAATTAAAGCTGCTAGACGCATCCAAGCACCATTATTTCCATAAAAACCGAGCCAGTGCGCTGCGGTTTACACGAGCTTAAGACGTGGGTCTAAAAATTCATCCTGAAAAAGAATCAGACAAGATCCTGAAAAAAGAAGAAAGAACGAGTATCAACACAGCCGAAGACAAGAAAGACGTATTCGGGCCTCTCTTTTAACTTTTTCCCAAATCTGAGCGGCTTCTCGTTGCAGTGAGAGCGTCATCGCGCCTTCATTTTTTCAGATGCAGCACGGACATTCATCAAGTACGAATAGTTGTATCTCTGCGCCGTCGTAAACGCGCATCCTTTTCTTCCAATTATTTCCATATTGTGTCTGTTTTCGTTTGTCTTATTCGTAATGGTGCTTCAAGCACTACGTGAATAATACAGCCAAAGGTAGGAGAGATGTGTTCGGGCCTCTTTTTTAACTTTTCTCCCGAATCTGAGCGACATCTCATTGGCAGCATATAGCAGAGCATTGAGAACTCACTCTTCGCGTCATCGCGCCTTCAATTTTTCAGATGCAGCACGGACATTCATCAAGTACGAATAGTTGTATCTCTGCGCCGTCGTTAATGCGCATCCTTTCCCTCCCTCTATTTCCATTTTGTATTTGTTTCCATTTTTCTTATTTGTAATATTGTTTTCAATTAGAGCATATGTGCTACTATTACATAATATACAAAAAATGTGCGCATCACTTATTAGTCATAATATCAAAGTTTACGATCAATCAAAAAGAGCAAAAAATTGAACTTTGAAAAATCAGAGAGCTCGATGGTTTACAACGCTCGATGTTTTCTGACCTGCACTTCGTAAAATGAAGATAAGGTGACAAAAAAAGGACATGCCTAACCCTCTTTCACTGAGCAGCAACCTACTTTTTACCATAGAAAACCAGTGGCGTGGCGTGGCGTGCTTTGCGATGCATCGATTGACTTGCCATTTAAACCAATCAAAGAGGATCGATAAACTGGGTGTTCGCAAAGAACACCTTAATAATCGATTCTTTATCATAGCATCAAATGGGGAAATATCGATAATCGATCATGCACGCCTCGCCACTGCAGAAAACGCATGTGCATGGGCGGAACTACATATAGTTACATTTTGTGGGGTGGAGGGACACTTTGTCATGGAAGTTCAATGGGACATCAGAAAAAGAGGGGGATTTATGGGTTTTCCCAGCTTCAAAGAGAAGCTCAGAGGGTTCGGAGAGCTTCCCCCGGGAAAAGTTGTAAAAAGTCGTATCACGAGCATATTTTGAGCTGTTCGTATCAACAAATGGTCGAATTATAAATTAAAAGGTGAAAAACGTGGCATGCAATTATTTAGCAAAATCTCTTAAATTTCTTGAGAGGGGTTGAGTAGATTTTTTTTTGGAGGGGGGGAGCCCACCCCCGACCCCATACTAGTTCCGCCCATGTGTGCAGGACATGCAAATTTATCGTTTTCCCCCTTCGCCACAATGTAGATTATTTTTGAGAAGGGGAGCAACGACCTGGTCTTGAAAAATAAAAACTTTTCAGTCCAATGGTTCAGTGGTTCAGGATCTGATTCAACAAGAGCATAGCTTATATGCTCGTGACAAAAACTCGATGTGCTTACTCACTCCACGATGTCTCTCCAGGAAAATGCGATTCGAGCAAAAGTAAGTAAGCTTTGTTTCCGGCAAATTTCCCAGAGCTGGCATGTAGATACGCTTAGTCATCAAAGAACTGCACACACTGTTCTCGACCTGTATCGTTTTGATTGAGACTTTCACAAAAATAGGTGATTGGCGCGAGACCTGTCTCTCGTCATGTAGAGCAATGTAATTTTTTCTTTGAGAAGAAATGGTGCTGGTGGGTTCATCTCGTAGCCTTTACCTAGGCTGACGTGCTAAGGAAAAACGCCGTATGAACATTCGAGAGTTGCCAAATTTCCTTCAATAAAATGTTCATTTTTTAGGAAAGATATGAATATTTTTCATTGAAATTTTCAGGAACTTTAGGTGGAATTGCGACAAAATTATCGAAAAAATTCGAGGAAAATATTTACTAAGTTCCCCTGAAATTCGTGATTTACCAAAGGAGCTTTGGCAACGTCTGAAGGTTCATACGGCGTTCTTCCTTAGCACAGCAGTAGGAGCCGGAGTTTTTCAGAAATATTAGGACTACTCGACATTGAAAAATTCTTGTCAAACTTTTCAAATTTTTTTTTTTTTTTGACCCGGCCACATACAGTGTCATGGTTTCACCCCTCAAAAAATTAAATCAAGGTGACGAGCGACTCAAATTTTGAGGGAACACAAAAAGATTACTTTTGGGCTTATATTGTCACCTTCCGGTCAAAACATCATTAACGCCATGCGGCAGCACGAAAAAAATTCACTGAAATTTTCGGATTGCTTCGCTGAACAATTTCTATGTAAGAAAATAAAATGGCGGCGGATATTTTTAAACGTCGCATGGCGCTTGTGTGATACTTCGGCCGAAAGGTGACGATACATCGACCCTTTCTCGGCCCCAGCTATACTTGGAGTGATCGAAGATAATGAGGATAGGTGCGTGCCTTTATATCACACAGATAATAGTCCAGGCAATCTAGCATAAAATTGGACCTTAGGTGGAAAAAAATCGGAAGCAAATTCCAACTAAAGGGCGTTAATGTACCCCCGTAGGAGTGTAGTTTCTGAAAATTCCCCAACTTTCCGACGTGCGGAAAGCCCTGAAAAATCAGGGAACTCCCTGAAAATTCGCCAATTTTCAAACGCACATAACTTGGCGTCAAATTATTGTATTGAGATCATTTTTTTTTTTAAATTGTCAGAAATTGAGTCAGATACATGTTAACCACAACTAAATTTGGAGAAAAAATTACCATAGTTGTCAAATTTACGAAAAATTGAAAATTTGTTTTTTCTAAAAATCTTTAAAGCTGATTTCAGGTCCCAAATCGTTAGAAATCGGAAAAAATGCCTTCAATAAAAGTTGTAGAGAATTGTTTAAGCTTTAAAACGGTATATGAACGAAATTTGTACGATGATTTGTTGCCAAACTACGCGCAAAAAACCCGGGATTTTTTTCCGCGCGAGAGCGGCAGATCCTTCCGACTCAACGCGTAGCCACTTGTTAAAATCTAAAATTTCTCCAGGATCCTACTTTTAACATATAATTATGAAATTGGGAGTATTTACTTGTTTAATAAAAGTATGAGAACACCCCCTCTCCTTCCCTCCCTATCCCTTGTTGCCATAATTATTATAAAAATGTTATCTCTATCGCGTTAGTCAGAGAGAAATACGGTTTGACCCGGAACAAATGCATAACACACTTTTCGTATGTAAACGTCATCAGTAGATCCTCCTGAATAACATACTAAAAATTTACCACGGACCGACCCCGGAGCACCCCCCTAAATGCCTAAAATCAAAATGGCGGCCATAATAAGGCCGTATGGGATTTCGGTATTTTAAAATGTTCCTATAGTGTCATGTGAGGTATCTTTTCCTATGTAATTTTGGTCGCAAATTTCATATATGAAGTCAAAAAAGCCCCCGGGTCAAAAGGGGTGCCCCAAATCCAAGATGGCGACTAAATTTGAAAGGCAAGGGAGGTCATTTTTTATCTTTTACGCGATTGCGCGAGTGAGGTATCATTTCCTACATAATATTGGTCGTGGATTTCATTAATGATGTCAAAACAGCTCCCCGATCAAAGGGAGTGCTCTAAATCCAAGAGGGCGGCTAAATTTAAGAGGCAGGAGGGGTGCATTTTTTAGATTTTTGCGTGAAAAGGCGGGTGTGGTGCATCAATTCCTGGATAATTTTGGTCGTGAATTTCATTATTGATATCAAAATAGCTCCCCGATCAAAGGGAGTGCTCTAAATCCAAGGGGGCGGCTAAATTTGAGAGGCAGTAGGGGTGCATTCTTTAGATTTTTACGAAAAAGGCGAGTGAGGTGTATCAATTCCTATGTAATTTTGATTTGCATTTTTTAGATTTATCCTTTCGCATGCACCACCCTACACCATGGATTGGAAGTGTATGCCGAATATGGATAAGTAGATTTTAATTAAGTCCATGCAATGTCCAGTAATAGGAAATAGACGAAGAAAAAGAGAATAAATCCCCTTGCAGAAACAGTTAAGGAATGTTAGAGACGTACTAAAATTGGAAGCGAGTATGTTTTGCTTGTTAATTCAATAGGTAGGGCAAACGCGCGTTTTCTAGCATACATTCCTATCAGTCGTACTATTATGATCTTTGTTTTATTAAAGGATAACTATTCACACCTAATTTTCTGTTCCAAGGCCAGAAATAAACGGAAAAAGACACCTTCCTTGCCGTGTTATTTTAAGCAAGGGTTTGACACTATGCAGCGTACTTGTAAGGTCATGCCCCGACTTTTGCAGAAGTTGCGCCAACTTCAACCGTAAAAACTTGGAGAGACCCGAGGTGAAAGATCCTGACGAGCTTGACACAGAATTGGAATCAGCACGCTGATTCAGATTTTATCCTATCTTGACAAGAAAAGGCACGTCTCGTGAGCAAAAACAATTCATTAGATGCTCCTGTTAGATTATTTTAATACCGTGAACAGCCATGATGGTCATCTGCTTGCATAACACGTATCATTTTTTGAGTAAAATTAATCTTTTACATTTTTCAGGCTCGCGTTGAATAAAAGTAGACGGAAAAAGACACCTTCCTTGCCTTGTTAGGTGAATTTTTTTAAAAAAAAATACACCCATCCACCTTTCAAATGTAGCCGCCCTCTGGGATTTGGGGCACCCGCTTCAACCAGCGGGCTTTTTCGACTTGATACATGAAATGTATAATCAAAATTACATAGGAATTGATACACCTCACTCGCCTTTTTCGTAAAAATCTAAAGAATGCACCCCTACTGCCTCTCAAATTTAGCCGCCCCCTTGGATTTAGAGCACTCCCTTTGATCGGGGAGCTATTTTGATATCAATAATGAAATTCACGACCAAAATTATCCAGGAATTGATGCACCACACCCGCCTTTTCACGCAAAAATCTAAAAAATGCACCCCTCCTGCCTCTTAAATTTAGCCGCCCTCTTGGATTTAGAGCACTCCCTTTGATCGGGGAGCTGTTTTGACATCATTAATGAAATCCACGACCAATATTATGTAGGAAATGATACCTCACTCGCGCAATCGCGTAAAAGATAAAAAATGACCTCCCTTGCCTTTCAAATTTAGTCGCCATCTTGGATTTGGGGCACCCCTTTTGACCCGGGGGCTTTTTTGACTTCATATATGAAATTTGCGACCAAAATTACATAGGAAAAGATACCTCACATGACACTATAGGAACATTTTAAAATACCGAAATCCCATACGGCCTTATTATGGCCGCCATTTTGATTTTAGGCATTTAGGGGGGTGCTCCGGGGTCGGTCCGTGGTAAATTTTTAGTATGTTATTCAGGAGGATCTACTGATGACGTTTACATACGAAAAGTGTGTTATGCATTTGTTCCGGGTCAAACCGTATTTCTCTCTGACTAACGCGATAGAGATAACATTTTTATAATAATTATGGCAACAAGGGATAGGGAGGGAAGGAGAGGGGGTGTTCTCATACTTTTATTAAACAAGTAAATACTCCCAATTTCATAATTATATGTTAAAAGTAGGATCCTGGAGAAATTTTAGATTTTAACAAGTGGCTACGCGTTGAGTCGGAAGGATCTGCCGCTCTCGCGCGGAAAAAAATCCCGGGTTTTTTGCGCGTAGTTTGGCAACAAATCATCGTACAAATTTCGTTCATATACCGTTTTAAAGCTTAAACAATTCTCTACAACTTTTATTGAAGGCATTTTTTCCGATTTCTAACGATTTGGGACCTGAAATCAGCTTTAAAGATTTTTAGAAAAAACAAATTTTCAATTTTTCGTAAATTTGACAACTATGGTAATTTTTTCTCCAAATTTAGTTGTGGTTAACATGTATCTGACTCAATTTCTGACAATTTAAAAAAAAAAATGATCTCAATACAATAATTTGACGCCAAGTTATGTGCGTTTGAAAATTGGCGAATTTTCAGGGAGTTCCCTGATTTTTCAGGGCTTTCCGCACGTCGGAAAGTTGGGGAATTTTCAGAAACTACACTCCTACGGGGGTACATTAACGCCCTTTAGGTGGAATTTGCTTCCGATTTTTTTCCACCTAAAAAGCTAGATTGCCTGGACTATAACCCTACTGATTTATCACCAGACAGTGTGGGCATATCTCATCACCCTGCTACAGTAATTTTACCTATACGACATACATATCGACGGTGAAATTTCCCGACCACGTATCTCGGCTTGCGACGTTACAGACTTCCTGTCATACTTTACTTTTTTAATTAGCAAACTACTCAACGTCAATTCTTGTAAACTTCCGTGATTTTTACTTTCTGTGCGAAGAAAATTCTGCGAAAACGTCATGGAATGATACTGATTTGTTCTCCTTTAAAAAATAAAACGGGAGCGGAGATTTCTCACCACCGCAAACGAGATACGTGGTTTGGGAGTTATACCGTCGATACTCATCACAGCTCTGCCGTGCTAAGGCAGAGAGATACGCATTCGAGAGTTGCCAAATTTCCCTCAATAAAATGTTTATTTTTTAGGAAAGTTATGGATCTTTTCC